GATGATGCATAGCATAAAATTGGTGTAGGTGTAGAGAGGAAAAAATGGGTGTTCCAGGAAAAAGATGGAGACAGAGAATCCATGCACGATGCATATATATATATATATATATATATATTGATGTAAATCCAATGGCCGAATATTTTTATATTCTCTCGTCTTATAAAAGTGGAAACTGTCCGTTTTGTGAAGCATAATGCATAAATCGTACCCTCACAGTCACAGTTTAAATATTCACCAAACCAAACCCATTTTTGATTGCCCCAAAAGCTCCCCTTTGCTTCGCTGAGCATCAAGATTCTCCCTTCTCTCTCTCTCTCTTTGTCTTTTTTTGGCTTCTTCTGCAGCAAATTAAAGAGCATGATTACCAAATTAAATGTATCATTAATTTCGACATAATATTAATTTCTAATCATATGAATATAAAATAAATACTTTGGTTCAAAACTGGGGCAGCATAGCCCACAGTTATTTGATTTTTGGTTTTGTTAGGTGTTCGAAAATACAAACAAAATAAATGAGGATTTTGGAAATGGGCGGGGGTGTGTTCAATATTTGGATACCAAGGAAAACGATATTGTTAGGCAATGCAAAACTGACAGGGAAAAGTTTTTGGTATTATTTTATAACATTAAAGGTACGTCTTGGAACTTGTTATATACGTGGGTAATATTGAAATATAATATATGATTATAATGGAATTAATTGAAATTAAAGAAAAAGAAAGTAGAAATTAAAGGGTACATGTAAGGTATGAGATGAGACACGGAATCTCTCTTTGTCTTTGTCATGTGCATACCTCTGGCATTCCGTTTTTGTTGACGTGGAAAGAAATTTGTTTTTATTTTTTTGAAAGGTGGTACGACGACGTTGCGTAGGGTTGGGAGTTGGGAGGGGGCATGGGTATGGGTTAATTTTGGGTGATTGGGATTCCAACACAACAGGGTGAGGGTGATTGGATTGGACAGAGGGACAAGTTGGCGGTAGCAGCCGTACACGTGTTTTTATGCGCCCCACAGCCACAAGGCCACATGGCCACATGGCCACATGGCCATGCCCACCACCCACCGCCTTTTCCTCGTTTCTTACCTCCATCGCCTTCTACTTATTTTACAGAATTGCACCAATTTTCATCACCTTAAATGGATTTTACTCGAACTCTTGCGTCATATAACTCTTCCAATTTTTAAGTTCAAATCTCCAAAAACTCATTAATGAAAATGAAAATAATTTAAAGCGGATGCCAAGTTCAGGATAAAAATTTGTTGTTTCCTAAAATTTTGAATCATTGTCTTCTTTTTTTAATACTTATGTTGGGTAAATAAAAGATATTCTAAATACATCCTGTGTTGAAATTTAATTTTTTAGGTAATTATCAATTTGATTTTTAATATTTTAAACGTCTCAAGGCATTTGATAAAAATAAACATGTAACATTTTGTTATTAAGAAGTTAGTGTAACATTAAATTATTATTTTATTAAAATAGTTGAATATATAGGCATAAAATTCGTCCCACTTGAAAAGAAATTGACTTTTTTTTTTTTTTTTGGTTGATAGGTGTAGTCAGGTTTTAGTGAATTATACATAATTTATCTATACATCAACTTTTTGTGGCAAAATTTTAATAATGTTTAAATAGAATTAAAAGAGAGAGAGAAAAAAGGGGCGTACTAGAAAACCCTTTGGTCCTGGAATCGTTGTCACTGACTTGTCCCTTTTATTCTAAAATCTAACTGTACGGTTTTCTTTTATTATTTTTGAGAAGGGTAAGAGTAAAAACTTTGTTCTTGAAATTCTAACTTCCGATTCCGAGTCATATTTATTGATTTTTCAAAATAACTCTCAAATAGCACCAAAGTTTGGGCTAGATCCTCCCCATGAAATAGGTAGGCCATGGCCAGTATGACTCTGTCGGCCTATAATCTTGAAAAAAGCTCAATTTTGAAAATGGTTATAAAACTAACTTGAATTCTACTGGTCTATGTCTATTATCATAAGCGACAAATTCGAGTAAGCCCGTTTGTAAATTGGCCCATTTAACAAACCGAAGAGCTCATGAGCAGGTAACGGTAAAGGCCCACGATACAAACGAGCTATAAGTGGGCCCTGACAAAATTGGACTCGAGGCGGAAGATGGCCCAAGTCCATTAAAGCTTTAGTTTTGTCAAAACACACGCTCTATTTTTTTTATTAGGCATTGGTGTAGATTATGAATAACATGGAAATACCCACCCACCAAACACAACTTGCCAGTAATTATTATCTACATAATACACAATTATGCATATCATAATATGAAAAGTCGTGGATTTCCACTTGAACGTGAGATAATGTTGACACTACTCAACCAAACCCAACAGAATTAATTTCCATGGGGTATCTTCTTAATACAATACTTATTATTTACTTGTTAATCTTAAAATAGCAAAACAGATGAGATTCCACGAAATCTAGAAGGAAAAAAAGGGTGAACTATTGGAGTTTGAATTGTTGGGAAGGAGATTGGATTGGATTCATAATTGTTGTTGTCGTTATGTTATGGTGGCATTCTGTAATATGATTTTGACCGCTTCTGTTTGCTAATGTTGCTGACTCTCATGTGGCTCTCAGATTATGGGCCAGCCCTCTTAATTCCGCACCCTAAAAATACCTTTTCTAGAAGTCAACACCTTCCCCTCCATCAAATATAAGATATTTAAATTCCATTTTGGCTTACTTTTCTTCATC